ACTTGATGCCATGTGCACTGGGAGACTACTTCCCAGTTGTGGCGAAATGGGCATGCAGGCGAAGTCACGTGCGCAGCTCTAGCACCCAACCCACTCAACGTGGCTGCGGCGCTACGCGTAGGCTCTATTCCCGAGTCTACTTGTACTGCGATCGTGCGACTGAGAAGTAACGCTCACATCCGACGTCCTTCATCTGAGGAAAACAAATCGGTGAGAGTAGGTGAGCCGCATAGTTATAGAAAATTCATTATCGCACCGCATGAAAAAAGTTGATATCTCCCAATCCTCCCTCCCGCTGCAGCGGTCCAACGATTAGCGATATAGTGCTTTCGCGACTTTCGCGATTGAATCGCTCCAGTCGCGAAATAAGAGCGTAGCCTTCCAAAATTAGCGTATCAGTCCATTGGCGAAAATACGGTCGACGATCCCTGCAAATGGTGGGGCGTGTGACGCGGCGCGTATTGGAGTGCATCCAGGGCGGCCGTGCTCCAACAATGAGGCCATCCTGAGCGCGCTACAATTGATGAGTAATAAGCCCTGGCTGCGCTTCGTGCCATACCCCGTCCTACGCCCTAAGAATAGCAGAAACTACGACTGTGATGGGCGGGCAATCCGCCCACATATCTTCCCTAAAAAGCCCCTGCTGTGCAAGTTGCTTTTTATTCTCAAGGAAAACTTCATCGTGATTCTCTCAGTAGGGTAGGTTATAGGGGCAAGCTTGGGGAGATAAAAGGGTGAGCTAGGCAGGATCCATATAGGGCCGAGATCTAGAATAATGTTTTTCCCCGCTCCTGGGATCCTGCCTGGTGTTTTGATTACTCATTTTTTTATTCTCATGGTCAGAGCACTCCGAGCTTGCCAACTATCTTCAGAGGCTTAGGTAAGTCTGACGAGAAAATTTCCGATATGCAGCCAATCCTTTTTCGATAGCGGAAAAGGATATGGCGCGCAAACGGCAAACAACAACAATTATTACTGAAAGAGCATCCATGATCGACTTTCAATGAATCTTGGCATCGTGTGAGGTCCTTCTGATTAGATGTTAAACCACAGCCAAGATATTAACAACTTTATTTGGCTGACGTTTCGGCCTTGTCGCCTTCGTCGGAGCCTGGAAAGTCAAAGATAAGGTGACCTACCGCCGAATGCCATTTCAGACTTAAGAGCAGCTCACCATAGACTAAAGGCGTCTAGGGAGGTCTCGTAGCTCACAAGCACAAACCAACTAACAACAATTATTACTCGAAGACTTGTGACTCACTCATTTGGTTGGCCGGTCCGTTCATGGTCAGAAATGATGGCGTATCGAAAAAAATATGCAAATATTCCCTGCAGTCGCGCGAAAAAGGAGAAGTCCGCATTGAGCACTGAGTCATTTGGGTGGCTCGCTCATGGTGATGATAACAGATGATATTTAATTAAAGCCTTCAGAATCGTGCAGGAGAGTAGGAGTACCACTCTCCGGCATGGCTTAGGTGGGGGCATTTTGCTGATCCGCAGCTATCCCTTCTGCATCCCGTAAAGGCCTGTAAACTCCTATAAAGCTATGCAATAACATGAGCTTTGCTCACACTTGAAAAGGGTCCAGAGATGAGATGTAGCCAACAGGAATTAGTCAAATGATATGTTGACTGGATAGATTAACATAGTGCCTCCTTCCTACACCATTGAGCCAAACAATGCCAGATCCTTTCTATTTGCTTTATATTGACGGCGGAGGTGGTATTTTCTGTATTCTCCGGCTGTTTAGTTTCGCTCTACTTTGTGATAGGAATAGGGATGTGTTGCAGGTACTGTCTATTATGGTCGGTAGTTGTTCGGTATCTAATCTGTCACCTGAGCAATATTCCCTGGAGTTGTTTCTGCCAGCGCGATTCGTAGGCTGTTGCATTAAGGACGTTGTGGGGTTTGACTGTGTCACTTACTACATTTTCGGTCCTTCGAATGTGGTCCCTTCACATTTCTTTCATTTCGGCCCGCCAGTTCTGTCATTCAAGTCAGAGTGGTTGAAGGAAAAGGTCAGGGGCTGACGGTCCGGAAGGGAACTTTGCGTCTAACATCTTGTTTCCTTTGAGTGGGGAATATTATGCCCTGAGAAGCAAGAGAAATGGCTACGTATCATTTTCTGGCTCATCATTTTTGTGGTGTGGACACATTCGTTTTCCTTACAACTTCAAGTTTATAATCTATGTGGTAGAGAAGATTTATTTCAATCACGGCGAAAATGTTATTATAGTTGGTTAAGCGAACTCGAACTTATTAGATTGAAGATATTAAGACTCTAAGGCGATTCCATTCCCCCCGGCCAGTTGATGATGATCACAGAGATGAGGTGCCACTGCGGCTGAGAGGTAGGGCGTGACCCGTTGTGCAGGGTTTGCAGTGGGTCTGAGATGGGATTGCTGGTGGTGTATTATTTTCCGCGGGCCTGTCTGAGAAAGAGAGAGAAAGGAGGGGGGGGACATGAATATAAGCGTCTACCGTACCCGATGACGAGCTCAGGGTTGGACGAGTCCGAGTTCCATTTCCGCAGTGAATGTATTAGCTTCGCGGTGTCATACACTGTACTGGAGCATTTGATTCGTCGATTTCGTAAGCGTGAATTGGGAAGAACTGTTTATCAGTTAAGTAGGCTGCCTTGAAAGTGGGCGGATAAACATTTTCAAGCAATGCTTGCAATCGGGCTTGCAGGGAACACGTGTATGGTATTTCTGCGATTTTTTTAATGACAGCGTCGCATAGCAGGGCGCGCAGTTGAAAACCTTGTTCTCGTTGGCTTATGATATTTGTTTGATCGGTTTCTAGAAAGGATTACTGCGGTTTACGAAAGTGTATATATCTAAGAAGTCACTGTTTTCTGCGAAGCAACAGCCGCCTCTAATTTTGTGTTGCAAATTAACATCTGATGCAAAATAACTGCGATATGATGTAGATCTCGCCATGGCGCACTTCCGTGGAATCTCCTTCTGGTCTTAGCTGTCCTACAACAGGTGATTCAGTTGGACCACTTGTGTACGAAATTGTGTAACTTGCTGAAGTTCCAATTCAATTGAAAACGGAAGCGTGTTAATTCAAGAATCGCGATATACGGAAACTATGGGCTTCTTCTTTTCCTTTTCGCTCTTTTTATATGCCGTGAACTAAACGTGAAATCAGTTTTACTGTCAGTAGCTTCTTCGAGATTTTCAGTGAACTTCATATCATTTCCGGTATTTTTCTCGATATGTAGCAGTGACTGTTTATTTTTTCCTATCCCCTTTCGAACCGTATTCGAGTTTTATTTTTTCTACGAGGCATTCTCGAAAGGATTTGGTGGAAGCAGTCTGTTTCATTCTTCCCATATAAAGTACTTAGCTTGTCCGGAAAGTTCTCAGCCGGTCGTCGTCTAGTGTTACATGATTTTGGTACATTCATTGCTGATGAAAAAAGCTGCATTTCTCCCTGTCGTCTCAATAGTACATCCTAAAGGAGAATTCTTGAAGCGGCTTATCTGCGAGGTATAATTGCCGTTTCAGCGGCGGGCGCCATTGCTAGTGCATGAACGCCGCCCTTTCGCCTATCCGTCGCAAGACAGTTCGAGAGATTGGCACGAAAAAGCTCAGGCGTTGGAAATCCACTGTTGTCGGATGAAATCTGAAAAGGCATGGAGAAGCTCAAGATTTAACCTCCGAACTAATTGAGTGCGCCCCACAAGTGAGTGACCGGCAGAAATTGGCACGTCTCGAGGTTTCCTTCACTGCTTTTGCGCAACAGAAACGACCCGTTTTTGGACCGAATTGTCACCTGTGATGAAAAGTGGATCATGTATGATAACAGGAGACGAGTTAAGGTTTTGACATATGTCTTGGTTATGCCCGACGAACCACCGAGGGCAATTTCCAAGGCCGAGTCTTACCGCAAAAAAAGCCATGGTCGGCAGTGTGATGGGTCATCTCTGCTTGATGTGATCCACCTATATACTTATTTAATCACAGGCGGCCCAAACCATCACAAGAGTCCTACTGTAAAGAAGTCGACGAAATTTACCGAAAATTTTGTCAGCTGCAGCCAACTCAAATGTAATGGTTCTTTTGCATGACAACGCCCGCCCACACGTTTCCCAAATCACTATCCAAAAATTGAATGAATTGGGGATTGAAGTTCTACCTCACCGCAGTCCAATATTCTCGCAGACTGCTTTCAACCAACCGACCATCACGGCCTTTTCGGACATTTTCGACTTCCTTGCTGGGAATACTTCGGCCAAGTCAGGACCAGGCAGCAGCAAAAAAGGCCATAACATGGACTTTCTGGTTACTTACCACCAAAAAACGTTCAGTTTTTCTTTGATGTGATTTGTCGAATGGTTTCACATTGGCAAAAGTGTGCTGATTCGAACGGTGCCTATTTCGATTAAATCCGATGAGTAAGAAAGTTATGATCGTTTGAAGTGAAACACTCAAAACGCTGAGAACTTTCCGGACAACCTGATACCTGCTTGACTGTTTTTTGCCTACTGAGTATCGAATTGACGCGGGCGTTTTCAGCGTCAAAACGCTGTTAGAGAAAGGCCCTACATGCATATATTATGGGCGCTATGCTACTGATAGCAAGAAAACCTCAGCGGGTCTCTAATCAACCAGGTCAGTTTTCCAATCATACGGCTAGCTCTTCTCTTACCTCCTCTTTTTTCTGATTCGGCCTGTGCAATGATTAATAATTGGCAAACATGTTCTGAAAATTGAGCGCAATTCGAAGCCATTGCCAACTTTTATTAAGTATGGGCGAGGGGTCAAGAAGACAGTTTGCGGAAACCTTTCATTAGTTTCACCTTGCAGCGGTTACTCTTTTTGCAGCGGCCAAAATAACGAATCTTCAGTGTGCAGGCATGAGTCAGAAAGCATTATTCCTGTATTCCTAATTGCTCGGCTTTTTTTGCCTCTGACATCGGTTATATAACATCTTGAAACTGGTTTCGTTTCTGTACCTTTATAATTCCATAATTGTCTCGTTGTCCAGAAATGCTTCTGTCGTCGTTGGTGTTGTTTCCGTTCGCAGTAGCTACTCTCATACCTAGAGAACTTCTTTTCTCCGGTGGAAATTACACAGCTATCCAGCTGAGCCCAAATGGAAGGTAGGTGGTTTTGGCTTTCACAGAGAAGTTTTCATAGTCCTGAAAATTAGGTGGAATTGAATAAGCTGTATCTAGGTATATTGCTTATATAGCGTCAGACCAGAACAAAGTGAAGAATGTGTTCGTTAAATGCATCACATGTAAAAATGCCCGACAAGTGACGTTCGAGAAGAGTACTGATGTTTACGGTAAGTTTTTTATTGAATTTTCCCATTTACAGCTCTTTCGTTTGGCGAAGAGTGTCAAAGGGTCAACATAGCGTTGAATGTAGAGCCACGTGCTTGCGTAGCGCTTCCTGATGAGCTTTAGGGGAATATAAAGATTTCGTTATTCACTGGTCAGGAGTAAGTATTGGGTCGTTAGGTTTTGTGGCGACAGTGAATAATGTTGCTATTAAGGCTACGTCTGGACCATTGTAGAAGAATGTGATTATCTACCAGTATGACAACGATGGCGACGAAAACTGGAAGCTGTTCAAAAAGAATATATCCGAAGTTAGTTTCAAGTATTGGGTTGAGCGCAACTGTGTCGCGACACAGTTAATCAAATATCTGACAACAATTTTTCATCATTGAAATAGCTTTGGACCACTTTACGATCACCTCGGCTCACAGGCTACGAAAGAATGGGTCAAACCAAAAAGAAAAAATCGCTCTTCATCGAGTTATTGAGCACAGAAACTTTGTGGAGATAGAAAAGGATGTTGGCAGGAATTATACTAGAACTGGCAAAGAGGCCCCGGGGCTAGGGTGATCATCTGGCTCTGGGTGCCACCCTCAAACATAATAAAACAACTTCGGGAAGTAGCAAATGAATGGATTAATGAATGTAAAGACAAGTAACCTAGTTCTACAGGCAGAAATGGCTGCAAATCCGGAGAAAAAGACGGTGATCTCTGACAAAACAGCAGTGCAAGCTATGTTTATCGCCGATACCCTTGAAGATACCACGAATACTGTTCGGACTGAACGACGAGAATCCTGCGTGAGTTGTTCATTCATGACATTGATTTGCTATGCGATTACTATACTTCGGGATGGTGAAATCCTTTTAGTAATGAAAAGTTGGTGGATTCGCGGGTTGATGAAAGAGTTAAACCCACAATTGCGTGTGGTAATCGAACCCACTAATGAAAATCCAGCGTATGCAATAAACTCAGGAGTTGCTGTAGAGATTAGGCCACTCCTGTTTTTTGAGCCGTTGATCATTTTGGGTAGTTGTGGTAGTGTCTCAGGAGGTCAAGAGTTCCTTTTATTTCTGAAAAGTCCAATTTTATGAAATGTATTTGAACAAAAATTAGCTCATCGTGATGTTTTCATTTTTTCCACTAAAAGGAAAAGTGCTGCTGATCGTACTGCTCTGATCTCGATATTTCACTTA